CACACCTCCCGCTGAGATGTGGCTCCAGGGACACGCCGGGTACATGAAGGCCGCGTTCTGGATCTGGTCGTTGATGTCCTCATCCTCGTTGAAGGGGAACGTCCCGCTGAGGCTGACGTACATGATCACGCCCACGGACCACATGTCCAGCGAGCGGTTGTAGCCCTGGTTGAGCAGCACCTCGGGCGCCAGGTAGGCGGGCGTGCCCACCACCGAGCGCCGGAAGGACTTCTCGCCGATGATGCGCGCGAAGCCGAAGTCGCACAGCTTCACCTGCCGGGGCGGAAGGGGGTTGAGGCTGCGCCCCACCCAGGATCCCCCCCATCGCGGTATCCCGGGACTGGCGAATTCTAGTTTGAATGCAGGCTCCTCCGCTCTCCGTGCCTCGGTTTCCTCATCTGTCTGAGGAGGCGGATACCAGCGCCGACCTCACGGGCTGCCAGGAGGGTTCCCCGAGTTAATCCATCTAAAGCTCAATCCGCGCTCCCTGCCACTGCCTGTCACGGGGAACAGGCCTGGCGAACCTCCACGTGCCAGTTCTCTCATTTGCACGATGGGTGTGCTAACGGTTTGCACAATGGGGGTGCTAACGGTTTGCACAATGGAGGTGCTAACGGTTTGCACGATGGAGGTGCTCAGGGTCCCCACCCGAGAGGCGGCTGCGGGGGCTGAGAGAGCAGACGCATGCCCCGCGTTAGGGCGTTAGGAGCCGTGTGGGGCGGAGTGCGCTCGGCAATCCCGCAGCCGGTTTGTGTTGGGACTTTATCTGAATTGGGCTGTTACTTGCGCTTCCTCTCCAGCTTGCCCGGGGTTCAGTGGGACTGGGCAGGTTCGCTACCCACCGCAGTATCCAGACAGTAAGAGGTGCCCAGCCCGTGTGGCTCCGCGGTTGAGTTTTTTTTTTGTTTTTTTTTTAATATATTTTTATTGTTTTCAGAGAGGAAGGGAGAGGGAGAGAGAGATAGAAACATCAGTGATGAGAGAGAGTCATGGATCGGCTGCCTCCTGCACGCCCCCCACTGGGGATGGAGCCCACAACCCGGGCATGTGCCCTGGACCTGCTGGGGCTGGACCCCAACATCTTTGTTTACCAAACACCCTAAGGTCCCAGCGCGGAACCTGGCCCACAGCAGGCACACGATGAGTTTCAGTTGACTAGAGGGAACCTCTGCTTCTCAAGTTATGCTTGTTGTTTTATTGATTTTAGAGAGAGGAAGGGAGAGGGAGAGAGAGAGAGAGACATCAATGATGAGAGAGAATTATCGCCCTCTATTGGGATGTGAGCCGCAACCCCAGGCATGTGCCCTGTCGGGGAATCAAACTGTGACCTCCTGGTTTATAGGTTGACACTCAACCACTGAGCCACATCGGCCGGGCGAACCTTTAGCTTTTGAAATGAAATTACCTAAATAATTGTAAAACATAGATAATGAAGCAAAAGCTGCACAGGGGTGTGGAAGGGCTAAATGAGAAAGGACAACTAAAGGCCTTAAGCGTAATAGGTTCTCAATATGTCGTAGCTGTTACAATCGTCACCCCTGCCAGGTCTGGCTCTGCCCCTGGGGGAGGTCTCATCACCTAGTCAGTCGGAGGGTCGTAAAAACTGTTTTCTTAACAGACTCACAGAAGAAATGACCATCACCCCCCAATATTTGTTCTCTACTTCTCTTACTAGTAAAAACCTTAGTGAAGAGAGTAAAAAGGTAAAAGCTTCCAGGAATAAGATAAATAAGTCCCAGGGCTGTGATGTACAGCGTGGTGACGGTGGTTAATAATATGGTATTGCGTATTTAAAGTTGCTAAGAAGAATAAATCTTACACGGTCCCGTCACAAGAAAAAAAATTCTAAAACTTTGTACAGTGACTGATGTTAACTAGACTGTGGTGAACATTTCACAATATGTAAAAATATTGAATCATTATGTTATACACCCGAAACTAACATAATGTATGTCAATGATACCTCCATAAAGAAAAAAAATTTTAAGAGAAAATAGCCCTGGCTGGTGTTGCTCCATGGTTAGAGTATTCTCTGTGCACTGAAGGGTCACGGGTTCAATTCCCAGTCAGGGCATATACCCAGGTAGTGGGTTCCATCCCTAGTTGGGGCGTGTGCATGAGGCAACTGATCAATGTTTCTCTCTCACATTGATGTTTCTCTCTCTCCCTCTCCCTTCCTATCTTTCTAGAATCAATAAAAAAACATATCCTCAGCTGAGAATTAACAGAGAGAGAGAGAGAGAGAGAGAGAGAGAGAGAGAGAGAAAATATTTGGAAACCAATTTAAAAAAAAATAAAAATAACCCCGCCCTAGCTGGTTTGGCTTGGTGGATAGAGCATTGGCCTTCAGACTGAAAGGTCCCAGGTTCGATTCCCGGTCAGGGCACATGCCCAGGTGGCAGGCTCGATCCCCAGTGTGGGGCGTGCAGGAGGCAGCCGATCAATGATTCTCTCTCATCATTGATGTTTCTATCTCTCTCTCCTTCTCCCTTCCTCTCTGAAATAAAAAAAAACAACACATATTTTAAAAAATCCTCAATTGAAAAATATCCCACATGGTTACACAGAATAGACTATATTTCCCAGCCTCCCTTGCATCCGGCCAGGATCATGTGATCAAGTCCTGGCCAATGGGAGGTGAGGAGAAGTGATATATGCAATTTCCAGGTATCACCTTAGAGAAGGACAGGGGTGTGTCCATTTCCTCTACCCCGTGTCTGTCCCCCTCCCCTCCCTATTAGCTTCTCACATAGTGTGGGGTCATTACGGACCCTGAAGACCAGGCAATGCCACAGAGGGCAGAACACCGCGACAGCCACGCCGTGGCCCCCAGCACCACGGGACTTACTTCTCAGCCCCAGAATGCTTATGCTGGGCCCTACTTGAGTGAGAAACAAGCCTCCATTTTAGCCATGGTTATCTCGATTAATACAAGACATCCCCCCCTGCCACGGGCGTGGGCTGGACTTCCAACTTCAGGGGACGTCACTGACCTGGGGAAACGGGTCGGCTGACGCCAGCAACACGTTTTCTGGTTTCAGGTCACAGTGGACAATGTTCTTGAAGTGCAGGTGTCTCAAAGCCACCAGGATCTGAGGAGAGATGGAGCCGGTCAGACAGGAGGACGGGTGCCTGCTCCAGACGCTGCCTTCAGCAGCCGCCCTCCAAACCCCATCCATGCCCTTCTCTGCGCCCCTAAGGATGCCCGCTGGGGCCACCGGGGGCATGGGAACCCCCAAGGGAAATCCCAGAACCCAGGATCATTTACGCCTGAGATAGGAGTTGAACACATGGCTCTAGAAAAGTTGAACTGGGCAGTGGTTCTGGGCAGATCCCGGAGCCTCTGGCACGTGGTGAGCTCTCGCTAAAAAGGAGCTGCTAACACAGCAGTGGCTTTCCAGGAGGGACTATTGTGTGACTCAGTTAAAGCAGCTTTTTTCCATCCGTATGAAACGAATACAAACAATACCCATGCGACACCGTACGACTGTCAAGGGGCGGGGGGTATGCCAGAGCCAGTCTTCCCCGGCGGAAAACCGGGCTCTATGCTGATTAGCTTGCGACCTTGAGCAAGTCACTTTACCTCTGTGGGTCTCAGTTTTCCCGTCTGTAAAATGGGGGTGATGGCGGTACCATCCCCATGGGTTGCTGTGAGGCTTAAACAAGTGGATGCGTATAAGGTACTGAGGACAGTGTCCGGCACGGAGCGAGCTATTACTATTACATGTCAGCTATCACTATTGTTGTTGTTCTCGGTAATCATTTGTGGGATGGCCTGTGGGTGAACATATTTCTGTGTTTCAGATAGAGCCTCTCCTGCCGTCATCTGTTAACTGCGGAGTATTCCGGCCAGGGCGGCGTAGCTCAGGGGTTCAGTATCACCCTATGAACCAGGAGGTCATGGTTCAATTCCTGGTCAGGGCACATCCCAGGTTTGGGTTTGATTCCCGGTCAGGACATGTAAAGGAGGCCATCAATCGGTTTAGCTCTCATATCCATAATTTTTTTTCTTTTTTTCTCTCTCTCCCTCCCCCTTCCTCTCTCTCTCTCTCTCTCTCTCTCTCTCTCTCTCTCTCAAGTAAATAAATAAATAAAGACATATCCTTAGGAAAGGATTAAAAAATTATTTTTTAAAAAGAGCATTCTATGTGGCAAAGTGAGCTGCTTTAAAAAAAAAACACAAAACCCTGATACCATTTGTAAGCATTTATCTGTAGGAACCACGGTTTCCCTCGAGTCTGTGAAACAAACACCACACACAGGAAGTAGAGAGATGTAAGCATGAAGTTGTAATTTCCGTCTCAGAATGTAAATATTTGTTCCGGCTGGATGACTCTTGAGGACAGAAAAGCTATTTGAAAGCCACTGCTGAGGTCCAGCCTCCTCATGCTACAGACAGGGAGACTGCGGTCCCAGCATGCACTTGTGCAATCCTGTTTGGTGATTTTCCCGCCCCTAGTAAATGTTGGGGGGGAAGGAGGGCAGGTTGGAAGCTAGAGAGATCCTGGTTCCAATCCTCCCGGACCGTGACCTGGCCGTGTGACCGTGGGCAAGTCCCGGGAACCCCCCTCCACCTCAGTTTCCTCACCTGTAAGGCGAGTTCTAGGAATACCTACCTCAAAGGGTGGTTGTGAGGCCTAAACAAGTGAAGGGCTGAACCCAGGACTTGGGGTGGGGCAGGCAAGAAGCAGAAAAACAGAAATCTGCAGAGAGAGAGAAAGAGCGCAGACAAAAAGAGAAGAGATGGATGACCAGGAAGAGAGACTGCATGGGCCGCAGGAGGCAGCAGGGCCCCCTCGCCGCCCCAAGTCCGATGAGCCTGCCCCGGTGGGTTCTGTCCCCACCTGCAGGCCGACCTGACACAGGCACACGGCGTGGGAGAGCGAGGTTGCTGGGCCTGGGGACTTTGCAACCCACAGAGAACATGTCCCAGAATCAGGGGAGCAACCAGCCTGATGGGAAGGCCTTTCTCAGAAGGCTGTGAAATGCAGAAGACACGAAAGGCAACATTTAACATCATACATGTTACACTCTCTATGGCACATAAAAGCCATGAATGAAAGGCCGGGGAAAAGAAATCTGGGATAAAAGAACCGAACACCATGACAAGGATCCAAAGTCCCTCATATACAAAGAGTGTTTACAATTCAATAAGAATAATCCAATTGAAAAAAAGGTACAATTCCTGGTCAGGGCACATACCCAGGTTGTCAGTAAACATGAAAATATGGTCAAGCTCACTCATGATTTTTAAACTACGAAATGAAGCCACATGAAGTACTATTTCCCCACCCATCAGACTGGTGGTTAGGAAGGAGAGAGGAACTAGACACCCACAAGCTCTGCTGGCCACAGCAAAGACGGAAAGGGATTTTAGAGGATGACAGGACAGCACGTTGAAGGACATGTAAAGTGCGTTCCCCCGGACTCATAAGTCTACTATTTGAGTGTGTTCTACCGAAATTCTCCCGCCAGAACCCGGTACTGTTTGTAGATGGATGTTCACAGAATACTGCTTGTAATAGTGGGAAAGTGAAAACAGGCGACAGGGCCCTGGCTGGTTTGGCTCAATGGATAGCAGTGATGGCGAACCTATGACATGCGTGTCAGAGGTGACACGCGAACTCATTTTTTTGGTTGATTTTTCTTCGTTAAATGGCATTTAAATATATAAAATAAATATCAAAAATAGAAGTCTTTGTTTTACTATGGTTGCAAAGATCAAAAAAATTTCGATATGTGACACGGTACCAGAGTTAAGTTAGGGTTTTTCAAAATGCTGACACGCCGAGCTCAAAAGGTTCGCCATCACTGGGATAGAGCGTGGGCCTGTGGACTGAAGGGTCCCGGGTTCGATTCCGGACAAGGGCACCTGTCCGGGTTGTGGGCTCGATCTCCAATGGGGGGCGTGCAGGAGGCAGCCAATCAATGATTCTCTCTCATCATTGATGTTTCTCTCTCTCCCTCTCTGAAACCAATAAAAATATACTTAAAAAAAACAAACAAACAAAAAAACAAGTGACAAGATCAACAATTGGGGGATTTGGTGATATCCATCATGGAGTCCAACTCAGGGAAACAGGCAGTTCTGCTGCTAACTGTGCCCTGAACCCGAATACAGTCATGCTCCGCTTAACGCCGGGGCTGTGTTCTGAGAAATGTGTCGTGAGGCGCTATCGTGGCTGTGGGAGCATCACAGTGCCCTCACACACCGAGGTGGTACAGCCCGCTACGCCCCTAGGCTACATGGTACAGCCCATTGTTCCCAGGCTATAAACCGCTACATCAGCGGTTCTCAACCTGTGGGTCGCGACCCCTATGGCGGTCGAACGACCCTTTCACAGGGGTCGCCTAAGACCATCCTGCATATCAGATATTGACATGACGATTCATAACAGTAGTAACATTACAGTGATGAAGTAGCAACGGAAATAATTTTATGGTTGGGTCACAACATGAGGAACTGTATTTAAAGGGCCAGAAGGTTGAGAACCACTGCTCTACAGCATGTGACTGTACAAAACAACCTGAGATTAAATCAGACACAAGACAAAACGATGTGCTGAAGCCCTGACAGGTTTTGCTCAGTGGATAGAGCATCGGCCTTGGGGACTGAAGGTTCCCTGGTTTGGTTCCAGTCAAGGGCATGTACCTTGGTTGCGGGGACTTCCCCCGCTGGCCAATCGCACCCGCCTTGGCTGGCCTGGTGCCAGTGAACAACAACACACGATGTGTTGAAAAGACGTGGTAAACATGAGATGTATGAGGCTGTTGCCCGGGTAACACGGCGGATTGGTTCACAGCACACTTTTTTTATAAGTAGAAAGAGGGAAAAGTGCACTCCAAAATAATGATAAAAAGTATAGTATAGTCAGTACATAAACCAGTAACAATATCGTCTTATGCGGTATACATGATTGCAGGTGCTGTGCCTTCATACAACCAGCCCTGTCCACATAGGAGGGTACTGCATGATGCTACGACATTATGTCACTCGCAGTAGGACCTTTTCAGTCCCATTGCAATCTTATGGGACCACGGTCGTGTATGTGGTCCACTGATGACGGACACGTCGCTATAGGGGGCATGACTGTGGTAATAACTCTTATGATGACTACTATTTTCTACTGATTTCCTATTATGTTTCTATGCTTGCTCTATGGTCTGTCCTATTTTTACTCTATTACTTTACAAGTAGAGGTCCAGTGCACCTTAGCCCGGCCTGTGCCCTCTCCCCTCTCGCAATTCGGGATCCCTCAGGTAAGGTCCCTAGGCCAGGCCTCCATAATCGACTGCCACACAGAGGATGGCCTGGGCCTCCGTCTGTGGGGCGATCGTGGGGCAACGGCAGGGCCCCCCCGCTGGCCAATCGCACCTGCCTTGGCTGGCCTGGTGCCAGTGCATGTTACAGTGTGGTCGTCCGGAAGGTCATCCGGACGGTCATTCTGTCGTTCGGTTGTTTGGTCGATTTGCATATTATACTTTTATTATTATAGATTACTATTTCCGTTATTTTTCCTGTTGTTATGATTAGTCTGTTATAGTTTTCTATTATCCACTATTGTGACTCCCACCCAGTGTCTGCCCGACCTTCTGGGCACGGGGGGCCTTCTCCCAGGGGACGGCTGCCCCAGGGCGGGTGGGAGCCGCTCAGGGAGGTGGCGGGGGCAGGGCGGGCGCACCTGGGTGATGAGGAACTTGGTGAGGCGCTCGGGCAGCCGGCCCTTCTCGCTGGAGAGGATCATCTCCAACATGTCCCCATGCAGCTTCTCCATCACCACGAACACCTTCTCGGGCGTCTCGAACATGCACTCCAGGTTCACGATCCCCGGGTGCCGCAGGCTCTGGAGTGGGAGGGAGGGCGTGGGGGGGCGGTCAGGGCCCAGGTCACCCCTGAACTGGGACCCCAGAGGACAAGTCACGGGAGCAGAGGGGATGACAAACAAGAGAAAGGATGTGCCTGAACAGCAGCTCGCCCCTGGGGGTGTCGCTGGGGGAGGGGAGGGGCTTCCCAAGGGCCCAGTCCGAACGGCCGGTCTGCACCCCCAGGTGTTCTGAAGGATCGCACTTTACATCACACAATTCTGTGAAGGCCGGGTGGTGGGAGGGAGGCAGGCGGAGTGCGGAGAAATGGGAAGAATCTCTGTCTTTTAAATCTGTGCCTCCTCCCTCTTCCCCCAGCTCTGGCCTGGCCCGAGCCCATCTCCCCCACCCAGGTCCCCACCCAGCCTCCTCCATGGGCTCTAGTCCCGCCCCTTTCTGCCCACCCTGCCTCTGCCCCTGACTTGCTGGAGATGCTTCCATGGCTCCCCAGTCCCCTTAGGTCAGTGGTTCTCAACCTTCTGGCCCTTTAAATACAGTTCCTCATGTTGTGACCCAACCATAAAATAATTTTCATTGCTACTTCCCAATTGTAATGCTGCTACTGTTATGAATTGTCATGTAAATATTTGATATGCAGGACGGTCTTAGGCGACCCCTGTGAAAGGGTCCTTTGACCACCAAAGGGGTCGCGACCCACAGGTTGAGAACCGCTGCCTTAGGAGAAGCCCTCAGTGTGTGACCCAGCTGCCTCCCTGCCTCACCCCATGAGCCACCTAATAACCCCGGACGCCTTCACGTGCCTGGAAGATGTCACGCTGCCTCTCACCTCCAGACCTGTGCACAGGCTGGGCCTCTGCTCAAAACACCTGGTCCACCCCTCAGTCTCAACACGCATATCCCCTCCTCCAGGAAGCCTTCCCTGACCACCCCCCGACCAGCCGGTTGGCCCCTGGAAGGAGGAAGAGAGGAGGAAGCACCTTCCTAGGGGGGGAAGTGCTGGACCCCGGGCCCCGGCAGTCACCTGCAGAATGGCCACTTCGTTCCGGAGCTGGCTCTCCTGCTTGGTGGGGAAGCGCAGCTTGTCGATGACCTTGACCGCCACGTCCCGGCCGGTCTTCCGGTGCTTTCCTGGGCAGGGAGTGAGGGAGGCGGAGGATAAGGGGAGCAGGACCTTGCAGTCCCGGCAGGAGGGACCCCACCCCACCCACAGAGACACACCCAGCACTGGGCGGAGGGGATGGAAGGCCATGGAGGTGGCTCTGAGGGGCCCCCAGGGGAGGCGTAAGGGGCGGGGGGCCCTGGGAATGAACGTGGACTGAAGGAAGGTAATGACAGATTCCTAAGGAGGGGACTCTATTACATGGGACACTAGATTGACAACCAATCAGAATCTAGGTCTAGCCCTGGCCCGTGCGGCTCCGTTGGTTGCGAGGAGCAGTGCTGTGCACAGGAGGTTGCCAGTCTATCGATTCCTGGCCAGGCACACGCCTGGTTTGCAGGGTTGACCCCCGGAGAGGGGTTGCAGAAGGCAGCCAATCGATGTAGAATCTATTTTTTTTTTAATATATTTTTACCCCTAGCTGGTTTGGCTCAGTGGATAGAGCTTCGGCCTGCGGACTGAAGGGTCTCAGGTTCGATTCTGGTCAAGGGTATGTACCTTGGTTGCGGGCACATCCCCAGTAGGGGGTGTGCAAGAGGCAGCTGA